GACTGACAGTCTCCGGCCAGTCTCCTGGCACTTTCTACAAAACGCAAAAGGGGGATTGGTAAGAAAGCCCAGCCTGGGAGGAGGAGAAAATCAGAGAAAACCTTCGATTGATGCTGGTGCTGGGCTTGGCAGCTGCCCTGCAGAAAAATAAACACCCCATGGCAGAGGGACAAGATGCTGATGTTGGCACCTGCCAGAGGCAGACAGCCGAAGTCGCAGCTGTGCTGGTCAAATGAGCCTGGAGACTTCGGGGGCTGAGACCACAATGCTGTGGGCAGGCTGCAGCTCTCTGCAGGCGGGTTCGCTGGGCCTTCTCCACCCCTCTGGGCCGGGCCTCTGAACAATCAGAAGTGCAGGTGGCGTGTCCGGCTGAACAACCTGCACTGCCTCCAGCGGAGAAGAGGAGCTCATCAGAGAGCATAGGGCTGAAAAGGGGCGCCCGGAGAGGGTGCAGCAGGCGAGACTCAGCTAAGAAGAGGGAGCTCGGGATGGGGGTGGAATGGATGAACCTCCCACTCAGGGATTAGCCTCATCTTCAGAGTCTCTGGCTTCTGAGAAAGGCTTTTCCATCTTCAAAAAGCCAGGGTTACACGTAAAAAATGGCATCTGATGAAACAAGTCTCAATTTGGGTATGACTAAATTTAGAGCAATTAGGATCAAGAATTGATGGGAAGGGACCCTGTCAAATACTTAGGCAATAAGTAACAAGGGTAAGGGGCGGGGCATCAATAATCAATATGAAATCAGCCAATACCTTAAGACAAATATCCTTGGGAAATGAAATGTCCCACTAAATACATCCTAGCTCGGAGGCAATGGGAAAACCCACAAATTTAAGGCCTCTGCAGTGAGAATGTGTTTCAGAGATATAGTCCCCATAAAGAATTCAAGACAACAGACTTAAAACAAATGGTCACTTGAGAATAAAAACTGTGTCAAACTCACAGCATGTCAGATCTGTGCATGAGAGGCCTGTCTTAGGAATAACAGAACTTAGCTTCTTAGAGTAGCCAACAAAATTCCCAGCTGTTTTACTCTTCCAGAGAAAAAGTATTTTCTCTGTCATCCAGATATTAGCTCTGGCTTGCTTTCTGCAGACGCACTGTTGTCTAGCTCAAAACACTTTGGCTCTTTCGTTAGGATGAGGTTCGTACTTGGGTCAGTAAGGGGCATCAGTAGCTCGCGTGACCCATTCACCCACGGCAGGCGGCCTCTCATTGCATCTTGTTTTGCCTCATGTCTCCAAACTCCCCGAGGTCAGCGCAGACCAGCCCTTCTGCTGGGACCGTGCCTGGGCCATTCCTAATTTACTCATGTCTATTGCCATTGCATTTGGTCTTTCTTGAAAAGATGGGTCTCCCACAGTCTTATTTGCTTTATCAAAGAGCAGAAGCAACAAAGACCACAGGGGTATAAACTCAGGAGATCAAGAACAGCATCGAAGGAGAATTAGAAAATGTGAATTCACTTAAACAGGCCTTTTCTAGCCCAGAGTTTATTGACTCAAATACGTTGTACATGTCTGACTACATGAATGAAAACATATTTTTGAAAAGATAGCTCCTCAGAGACCACTCTTATAAATCATAACAACAGAAATACATTTATGCTGGATCCTAAGAAAAGAATTTCCTAATTATTTGAACTCCCACAGTTCTTACATCTCTGTTCCCAAGCACTTCCCACTGTCTTTGAAATGCCTCTGCTCCCCCACCTTCCTAGCTCGGCAGATGGGGTGGCAGGGAGTGTCGGACTTAGAGTACAAAGAGGCAGGTGGCAAGTGGGACGCAGCTGGAGAGGACCCATCCTCAGAGCGGATGCAGGACGAGAACCGTCTTAACACGGAGCAAACTGAAGGCCACCGCCGCTCTGGCGGAGCCCTGACCTGCGTTGGGTGAACTCAAACACGTGTCTTCTAAGACATTTTTAACTACAGGATAAACAACTTTTCAAAAAATTCACTTTAATGGAAACCACACGCCTATCACACTTTGGGTACAGTTTGCTATACTTGATGAAAAATAACCTGTATAATTCTCAACTTACATGTTTTCTGCTAGAGGTTTGAGAAATTCAGATATGGAAAAATAAAGATTCAGGTGGCATTCTCAATTCTCTCTCTTTATTGTGCACGTCTTCCTTCATGTGCTCTATTAAAAAGATACACAAACATAGATTGGCCAAAAGATATGCAACATCAAAGTGGAATGAATGTGCTTCTAATCAGTTTGGCATATTTGCCTTTCTTTTTCTTTGAAATAAGTTGGGCATGGCTAGATCTGATCTGGGAGTCATGGTCTACGTGAAAAGAAATTACTGTTTTCGTTTGGTTAAAGTCAACTACCATGAGGCGCTTTCTGCATGAGGCCCACGTCTCAGCAGACAGCCCTTGTATCGGGTGGTTCCCTAGATGCAGGAACAGAAGGACAAGAGGTAGTGAGGAATTTTTGCTTTTAGCACTACAAAAGAAAGTAAGTTAGGGAAAAGATTTAAGTCACTTGCCTGCTTCAAATGATGGTGCTTTGGGGCCACCGGGTTAAACTGAGATTGCATCAAATGGCAGAAACACTTGCTTGGCATGATTTTATAAGAATCACTCTAATGTGTTGTCACTGAACATCCTACCTCCCACCCAGTTATTTAATCAGCAATTTATTTTCAAATTGAGGATTTGGTAACTCTAATATGCTTCTATCGCTAAAGAAAAATGAGATCTTTGTTGGTGATAGATGAGGCTTTTCAAAATGTAATTTATGTTATTGTACATTCATGCATTCCTCACTGAAGGATACCCTTGTTAGCGCTGATAACTCCCATTTCCTCTTGGTCATCTGAAGCTAATTAGAGCTGCTGTTTACTGCAGAAGTAATCAATAGCTTTCCACAGTAGATCACATAGAATCAGACCCATATGCAATTAGTCCAGTGTAGATACACAGGGATATCTTAATTAAAACAAAATATGCCTTGTAAGAGAGATGCTGTCATAGGTGACTGGAATTCCAAATATTTCGACACATTTACTGGGTTCATTCAAAGTAAGTCTTTAGGAAACCTTTCACTAATTAAATTTGATGAATTCTCCTTGAAAACATTTTAAAGTGTAAAAAGCTGGCCCTTAGTATTCTCCATTTATGTTTATTCACATTTGGATATAAATGCACTTCACACACCAATCAAGCTAGAAGACTATGCCTTCCTCTTGGATTTAATCAATCTTCCACCGCAGTAATTTGACTAATTCTTACAAAGCAAACATCAGTAGGCAAAGGGGACCAGTATGACATGGGCGCCACGGCTTAGTCCTCCAGTCCCTCTACTTATGTGACAAGAAAGGCAATGCCCCCACCGCTCTGCGAAGGTGGAATCTCCTCTCTTCTATCTGGTTTTGGAGAAACAAAGCTACCAGCATCCAATCGTTGCAGATTCTGAATCTCGCCAGACTTCCGAAGCACACGTAGGGGTCTACTTAGGGAAGAGAATGGTGGATGATATGCAGCACACAAGCCAGGGGCCTTATGTCCCCAGCCCTGTTCTGTTCTTGGGTGTCTGTGCCAACCAGCTCATCTCTGCAGACCTAACGCTGATCTTGATCCATAAATCTTGCTTTATTGCCCAGTCAGTCATGATCTGTCATGGTGGATGTAGAACAAGATGCAAGCTGACCCCAGATGACCTCCAGACCAAACTTGTCTGAACAGCGGCCAAGCCGTCACAGTTTGGAGTAAAGACAATCCTTAAGAGAACTCTCTACCCTGGCATGGATCTGCTTCAGAAGAGAGGGCAGCATGGCCCTGTCCCCTGTCCCAATCAAAGCTGCTTTTTTTCAGGCAACGTAAAACCGAGGTACTGGATTGTGTGGATGGCCAGGGTGTCATTAGACATTGCAGAACATTTACAAGTGGCCACCAGTTTCTTTACAGGTAGGCACACTTGCAATCCAAGAAATGATAAAAGATAGCACTTGGCTGCTCGGTTTCTTCCTGCCTGTCCACAGTAACATGGCGCAGAGCTTTCTGCTCAAGCACAAGGCTCCTCAGAGTCTGCTTCTGAAGGGCTGTAGTCAGGAAGTTAGTTTCGGAGCTAACACCACTTATGAGAGGAAAACAAGCTCCGTGTATCTTGTATTAAACCATCAGTAAAAAAAATGGAGACAATATCATTACCTTCAAAATATAGAAAGCCAATAGATGAAATCATTTAGTAGTAAATTTTTTTTCTACATAGAACCTCATACGTGTAAAGAGTATTATTAGAGCAACGACGCTTCAGCTGTATTTGACTCATTAGTTTAAGGGCTTCTCGTTTGGATAAGGCTCAGGAGTGTTGCTCGATGACCGAAGCTCTGGAGTTTCACTCCCACGCTTGCTCCCTGTTTTCACTACAAGACAGACACTACATTTGGATGTGACAGGTGCTTTTTGTTTGGTAAGAGAGTGCAGAACTGTTTACAGAACATAAACGTTAGTGCAGAAAAGGCTCGTACATACAGAAAGGTGAACATTGGTACAAGCTTGTTTGAACAAAGTCTGCCAGGATTCTCTTGATGAGAATCTTTGATTTGCGACCAAAAAGCTTGCTGGGCTGCAGTTATGTCCTCAGAAATCAAAGCCATTACATGAGATATGGAAGATTCTTGGACAATACTAACTCTTTTGCTAGCTAGTAAAGGCCAGAGTTAAACTGTTCAAATCATCATCATCAAAAACATGGCCCCTGTTGGCTTTACAGCCAAATTAACACACTGTGTCCCTTTACAACACAACATACCCCAAAGCCTTTGAGTTTGGAATGTAGCACTGCATTGGGTATCCCATAGAAGCCCTAAGGATCACAAGAAGCTTTCTTTAAAAAAAAAAAAAAAAAAAAAGGAAAAGGAAAAAAGTTTCAGTAGGGTGAAACTGTTGGAGCAAAGTGTCAACTGAGTGCCTAAAACTGGAATTTCAGATATACAAGAGGACAGGAAACAGATAACTTGGTTTTTGTCTTTTTACATGTCCATATTGTGTTTGAAATGCAGCTACAATGTTTCTGCCAAAGACAAAGATAAGAGGGTGGGCAGGGCGGTTACCACCAGCAGGAGCCGTGGGCTCAGACCACAGCTTGGAGGAGCAGCCATTGATTTTGTGGTTATGTGGCTGGAGGCACCAGCAAGCCCATCCTTTTCATAATCACGCTGTAAGAAAGAACGTTTTCATTATCATCCACCGCATGTATTCACTCTATCACAGTGTATGTTAACCACACATCTCTTTCTCCCCCACCCCCACCCCCTAACTAGCTCGATCACTCACCAAAGCTGACCCGGGATTTTACCGATTCACTGACCACAGTTCTGTAGGAAGCGTCATGAATCTGGGTGAAAACTAGATACTTTTGGTAAACTGTCTGCTCGACACTGATTTGCTTGCTCCTCTTACAGATTTTAAAAATTAGGGGGAAAATGTGAACTGCCATCCCCTCCTCCACTCCCCGGATGTCCCAGTAGCTGTGCGACATGGAACCCTTCTTCTGGGGGCCACAGGAATGCTGGCTGTCCCTCCCCATCAAGGAAGAAGAACAGGAAGAGTCAGCTGAGAAGACGTGCTCAGGCCAGGGCTGGGCCAGATAGAGAGGGGTCACAAATTACATCAGAGACCAGCAGAACAGGCAGTGGGAGGCTTACCCCCCATCGGCCATCCAACTCTAGATTTTGTAGGTGGAGGAGCCTACAAACTGCCTGCTTGGCAGTTTGCTCACCAAACCAGAACCCAGGTCTCCAGACTCCCAGCCAGCACAGCTGCCTGCCCTGGAATGCCTTCCTCCGCCCCCACTCCAGCCCACGAAGCTGTATGTCACCACAGTGACCAATGATCATGAGAGAATCATCCGTCTTCTCATCTGTAAATTGGGGAGAGTAACATGGCCTGCCCCAGATATCTCTGGGTTGCTATGGCAACGAAAGGACCTGCTGATAGAGGTCCTCCGGTTAGCGGTGAGAGCAGTTTTCTGTCCCGGATGATACTATGTGACTGACATTGGCACAAGGGTACTCCTGCTGGGTCCAGCTCTGAGTTGAGGAGCCCGGGTCCCACACTAAGTTCTAACTTTGGGCACTGGGACCTGAGGACTATACCTTGCTCCAAGGCCAAAGGAACATGGCGAGTGCCTTACATTGTTTCTGAACACAAAAACTTGTTGTCTTTGGGCCTTTCACATCATACCTTGCCCCAGGGGCCCAGAGACTCTGTCTCTAGAAATGCAGGGAGATCCAGAAAGAAACATAACTTACATCAGAAAGACAGAGGTGTGTACTGCCCGACACGTTGGATTTCAGCTTCTGTGCCTGGGGAAGAGACAAACACATGCACCTATAAAATGACTCCCACACAATATGAAAGAGTAATTACTGATGATCCATTAATCAGCTGTCTAGGGCAGTGCCATTAATAGAAACATGTTGAGCCCCACATATAATTTTAAATTTTCTAGTAGCCACATAATTAAATCTATAACAGGTGAAATTAATTTTAATAAGTTTATTTAATCCAATATTTGCCATCTTAACATGAATCAACATAAACATTATTGAGATACTTGACGTTCTTCTTGTTCCATTCCAAGTCTTCAGAATATGACACAGCACATCTTAATTCAGACCCTCCCCACTGCAAAGGCTCAATAAGTTCCCTGCGACTGGTAGAGGCAGCACAGGATGAGGGTACTAAGGACAAAGCTTTGAAGTCACTTATATTTTGAACTCCTTTGAACGCCTTTCTGAATGTTAATTTCTGGGAAGAGCCTTCAGGGTAAAAATGTTGCAAAAAAAAAAAAATCCCCATTTATTCATAATAAAAAGACAGGTGTTCCTGAAGCTTGTTTGTTCATTTATTTATTCATCGCTCCAGTCAACGCTTACCAAGCTATTTTCCCATGCCGGCCATTCGGGGATATGAACAAAAGGGTTAGTCCCTGGGCTCCTGGGGCCGCCCTCTAGTGAGGGAACCACTCACTGCTTGGGAGCTGAGACACAGAAACTCTTTCAGATGGATCCACTCAAAGCACGGAGAGATCGTGCACGGCACGACAGGTCCCCAATCCAGCATTCTTAAACTCAGCTGCGAGGAGCGGAGCTGTGAGAGCTTCAAGTTCCCTAATTCCTTGCAACTGGAACACGTCTCCCCTGGGCCTGTACCTGAGAACTGAGTTGAGAGAGGGTTTCCATTGCTCAAACGATTGCAATGAAAACTGCTGATCCAATACAGCCCTCTTGTTTTGTAAAGGTAAACGATGAGAGTGCAGAGAAGTTCAGTGACTTACCCAAGGTCACAGAGCAATTTACTTGTGAGTGGGGATACTGGCCAGCTCTCTAACACTCTGGAATGGAAATGTGCTCTTTCCTGCATTACAGCGTTCGTCGCAAGCGATCCTGGTATGCTTGACTCTTCATGCTCTGCCTGGCCCCAAATCCAACACAACCCCTCCCAGGGCCTCTACCCACTCAAATGGGAGCTCAATGGCACCACACGTCAAAAAGCTCATTTGCCAAGAGGATGACCTGGGTGAAGCATCACGCCAGAATCAAGGAGTATCTGGGCAGACAGCTCCATGGGAAAGGCACTGGAAGGCCGCCTGTTGCAACTCATCAAAGACATGCTAGCTGAAATGACAGCATCTTCACCCAAGGGGTAATTTATAGGCCATAACACTGCTTGGGAAAGCATCATAATCTTTACGTATATTTGCATATATGCCAGCTGTGAATATGAAACAGAAACCTTTAAACAGTCATCAGGAAGAAGACACTGTGAAGCATCCCCAGGCTGTTCAAAGGTCACTAAATGTTATGTGTAAGAAGATCAGAGGAGAAATCGGAGGAGGAATTGAACCTTACGCCCAAGCCTACTTTTAATCTATATTAAGAGCAAATCTGGTCCACTGCATTGTTACCTGCAGAGAATAACGTGTAGAACGTCACATGTTTTATTTCTGTTCAAGAAATAAACTGGAATTGTGCCCAGACACGAAAGTGGCCCTAAAACATCACATGCTGTCTTGTCTTTTCTAGGCCATAATCTACAAAAGACATAAACTTCTGCTGAGGGCCTTTGCATAACTTAAGAGATTTTTACTAAAATGTGCAGAGAAGGCAGCTGGACTTCTGGTGTGAGACACATTGTAACTTCAAGCTGTTTGCAGACTTGTGCTCACAGCAGAACCGCCCTCAGTGGCCTCTAAGAGGTCTAAGGGCTGGGTAGGCCTCCTTTGACTTCGTTCCAGAGAATTAGCACGAGCACCCAAGTGTTTTCCTCATTGTATACACAACCTGAGATACTCACTAGCTACGCGTCCTAACTCACTCCAGGCGCCCACTGAAGTGCTGGAATAATGCTCACCACGACTGAATGATTGTGAAGGGGCTTCCACCAATATACTAGAAATGTCTCCTATCTTAATAGATTCTCTTAAGTGATTTATGGATCTGCACAGGTAGATTTCTGGTCCTCATTAGTCACTGAGTGCTCCGCTACGGTGTACAGGATTACACGCATACAACCAGCTAGAGGTGCACGGTCTGACTTCCCAGGCTCTTGCCTCTCTCTGGAGTGGGCTGGGATGACTGTTCAATCACACGGGAAGATGCATTTCGACCAGTTCCAAGTCTGTAAAGCCTCGGGGCTCTGCTTCCCCAAAGTGGGCATTCTGTTGGCCTCTGTGGAAAGGGAATGGTCACCTTCTGGCTGTGTCTTCCTGTAACCCCACTGGCTTCACTATATCTGGGGGCAGCAGCCTTGAGGACCATTTTGCAGCCTTAAGGACCATTCTGGTTGGCATAATTGGATGAAATGCTGAACAAAAGTATTAATGTACAGCCAGGCCCCTACAGATGCTCTGAGAGAATGCCTTCTCTCCCGTTAAATACCTTCTAACCCATGGAAGCAAGGAGCGCTCCAGAGACTTAGTGGTCCACATACACAGGCCTTTAAGTGCTCTGCTTGCATCGTAGATTCACAGAGCTTCCCACAGAGCGATCTGAGTACAAACCTGAACAGAGTGGTCCTGGAGTTCTACCTGACCCTGGCAGGGACCTCAGGAAGTTCTAGGAATCTGATCTACATAGACTAAATGCCACCAAATCCAGGCAGAATGACAGACTGGACGTCCAAGGCCTCTCAGGGTTCCTAAGCTGTGGAGGGAGGGGCAGACCATGGCCTGGGAATTTGGCCAGTGCATATCAGGCTGGTGGCATGTGACCATCAGCCCGGTATGTAGTCTGAACCCCGCCAGGGACCCCTGAGGTCAGAAATCTACCTATGCAGCTCCAGAGCCCACCTACAAAAACCTGGCTTTCAAAGCCCATTGTAGAAACCTGAGCAACCTGTCATTTCGACATTTTAAAGGCTTTTAGCCTGAGCATTTTGAAAACACCATCGAGCTATCACTATCTGCTAGTCAGGTATGATAGATGCTAACATCAAATTACAGGGCGCCCCCACCTTCCACTCTTGCAAAGAGTATTTACATACTTTAAATGCTGTCTCAGTTGATGAACATCGGACGCACACACACACACAACAAGGGTGTTAGACCTTGTAAGAGAGAAAGTAAGCTAGAAACTGGAAGAGCACCTTTCATTGCTGGGGTCTAGACAGGTAAAACCAAAAGCGTAACCGCAGAAGTGTTGGCACAGCACTCCAGGCCCTATCTGCCAGCCGGCAGCCCCGCTCATGAATGACATGCGCAGGACGTCAGCTCGACCTACCCAGACACAAAACTCACAGCATGTGGCTTTAAAATATGATGTCTCTTAAAAAAGGAGAGAGGGGGAAAAAGAAGGGAAGAGGACAAATTCATTTTTCTAAAACTCAATTTGAACCACTGTTACAGCCTGTTGCAAAATGAATTATTTAATCTCTTTTAGGAAAGAGGGTTTACCAACAGCTAAATCCTGGCTATATGGTTACAGGCACTAAGATACCTGACTCGGAGTCGGGGGAGAGATGCCACCACCAAAACCCGGAACCGCAAAGATTGTATCCTGAAAATGGAGAGATGAAAAGGATACTATAAAAGCCCGCCCCCAAAACAGTTGCCTTGTTGTCTTTCTGGAAATCCGGAGAACTTGTTCTTTAGGTGCTTCATAAGCCTGTGCAGCAGTGTTATAAAACTGTCACTGGCAGTAATCCGTAAGTCCAGGCATGTCACATAATAGAATTTCCACGACACAGTAATTGCAGGGCCAGACCTCACCAGTTCCTGGCACTAAAGGGTTAATAAATGCATTAGATGCTGTTAACCTCTGTTACCTGGAGTCAGACTGCCGACTCTCCTGCTTTTTACCTCTGTGATTAGCATTTGGAAAGCCTGCCATGGTGCCAATGGCTTTCCTGTACAGAATGCACCGAAACACACATAATTTATAGCTCCCAGCCGAGCCTGCTCATCAGTCACTGCGCATGCACACACCAGTTCTGCCCACAGTAGGCTCTCCCCAGCTTCGGGGACCAGCGGTCAGGCGTTGTTGGAGCAGGATGCTTACTCTGTTTATGAAACTGGAGAGTTAAAAGTGCGCCCACTCAGAACCTGGCATTTGCGGCCCCAGAACTCCAGCTCTGTAGAGGAGCCAGTGTTTAATCTCGGGGTTTTAGGCAGCTGTCAGCCAGCAGGGTATGGAACATTTCTCTACTCTCCTTTTGCATAAAAAAAAAAAGACAGTTTCTGCTCTACCTCCAGAAAATTAAACCAAAGGAAGTCGCCCAATCCAATAGCAGCAGACTGTCCAGGCTGCAGCCAAATGGTCATAATTAATGATGCTTCTGGTTCTTTTCTCCCTTGCTTTACTGATTAGAGAGATTTGCTATATTAGGAACCTGTTTGCTTAATGACAGAATACAAGCAATAAACAGAGAAATACACAGACTGTAAAATGCAATCAACTTTGCTCTCCAGCACTCACTAAGTACCTAGCTGCATCTATCACACTTGTCAATAGCAGTTTATTAGCATATGAGTCTCTTCTGCAGCATAAATTGGACCTTTGCTAGGGAAAATCATTGCATGAGTTCTTCCCGAAATAGTCCAGAACTCACAGCCATTTCTCAATTTAAATCTACACACCTTACATTTTCTTGTAAGACATAGGAAAAAGGATGTGCCCTTAATTCTGAAGGAGAACTGAGCAGACTAACCTGCTTCAGAGCCTGCATTTTTCACATTGCATTTTAATAAAATCGACTCACCTGATTACGCATTATATACCTGATATGCAGATATATACACCTGATTTTATGGGTCGTACTTGCTATATAACACTTCTATTGTGCATTTGATATGCACTTGCCTGAT